ATTTTTGTATTAAAGTTTTATTGATGATTTGATGAATCAACTAATTTGTTGATTGTTTGATTGTATTAACTTGATTCTTTAGATATTGAAAATTAAATAAATAACATTATGTTAATTTAAGCGTACAGAAACGTTGCTGTTGTTCCAGCAAAAATCTTATTTTCACTTTACCGAGTGCCTAGTAGGTAATGTGCAGATTACCTAGATACTCTGCACATTACCTAGGTAATTTGAGAAATAGAACAATTTTAGCAACTTTAACGGATCACCCTAGTTAATGTGCAGATTAGCTAGGTAATACACACATTAACGGATTTCGAGCTTTAGCGGTAACATATATACTGTGTATAACAGCCAGGAAAGTAAAATTAAAAATGTTTAGAAATGCGTTTAACTCATCGCTACAGAATATTTTGTCTTGTTTAGAAACGTTTAAATAAAGTATGTAGTAAAGAAAGAAATGTCTTGTTATTTACTTTCAAAATTAAAAAAAAAAACTAAATAGGGTCATTTTGACTCCCGTCATCTCAGTTAAGGGCTAAATATACAGGATACTCTATGAAAACTAACAGATAATGGTCAGGAAAAATTACATTGGAGTTAACAAAACGAAACCCTGTGCGTCTCAAGGAACACAAATATAACCATGGAAAAGGCCACAGTAATACAATTTTAACGGTAATGGCACAAGTTGAAGGATCAGTTATAAAGTGAGATAAATCTAACATTTTTAAACCAGTACATTTTCCAAAAATTGCTATGGAAATGGAAGAAATGCAGATACATAAAAGCAAGATTAAACAACAGTGCCTAAATGTTAGGGGATGCAAACCTTCCGCTTGGAAACACACAATAGAGGAACAAATAAAGATTAGCCTACAACCAACTTTATTTTTATGTTATATTTTCTTAACTTGTATTTTATATTTTTCTTGATTTTAGTTTTACTGTATTTGTGCATTATTTTGTTAACCTTATTTTTCGTAATTTACTTAGTTGTTCAATTCGTGTAATTTTAAACTGATATTTAAAACACTTGAAATGTAAAAATTTAAATTGAATGTTCGATTTGTGGAACATATGTTTAAACTTGTTTAAAAATCTGATGATGTCCTATGGTAGTAGACTGAAAACATCTATGAATAAAGAATTCTCTCAGCAAAAAGCTCAGGTGGGATGTAAGATTGTATTCTCTGTCTGCTAAGAACACACAGTATGAATAAACTTTGAGTTATGTTAACTCTTTTACGTGAAAATTTTATTCTTGTCGATTCCTTAATAATTAATACAATTGATTTATTTTATTTTGCAAGAATTTAGGATAATTTTGATGAATTAAATGAGAAAATATATTTAGCAAAAGCTTCTGAATGTTTATTCATAAAATCATTCTTTAACCAACTTGATTAATACTAAAAAGAAAATAAAACAACAATTATCCTTGGGGAAGGATAAAATGCGTGCATTTTTAAAGTATTGGAGATATTAAAAGATAAATNGAAAAAAAAGAATAATAGATATTAAAGTATTTTTTAGCTTCAATAATTTTTTTTCTTAATACAGTAAAACTTCTCTAACTCAAAACATCTATAACTCAAATATTTCTTTAACTCGAAGAAAAAGCACTTAATAGGTCTCAATGGAATAGTACAGGGATTTAATGTCTCCAACTTGAAGTTTATCATGGTCCTCGAATACTGATTTGTGTTACATTCAACATCCCAGTCTCAAATTTTAACATTTATTCTATCCTAATTATTTTATAAACCCCCGATTTTTCATTCAACGTGAGATTGTCTCTATCGTTGCACAATGTTCTTCGTAGTGACAGTTGAGGGGTTATAGGTTTCATGGTTTCATATTACCTATAACCCCTCAACCATCACTACGAAGAACATTGTGCAACGATAGAGACATTCTCACGTTGAATGAAAAATCAGGGGTTTAAAAAATTCTATTAAAACATACAGTATCAGGGGAGGAAATTATCCTAATTATTGGATTTCCATAAAATTTTCAGACAGTTAGTTGTATTTACTCTCCAACACTAATTTTCAGACAATGTTCCAGTCCAAAGCGAGAGGTCCTCTCGCTTTATATCAATAAGATGTATCTGAAAACTGTTTGATTTCATTAGTTATGTTGAACAGTTTGCTGAAAGGCATTACATGGACTGTTTAAAAAAAAAAAAACTATGAAAGATTCTTTATATAAGGCAAGAGAGGGAAAAGTACAAATCTATTTAGAATCGGCATTCTTTACTGTACTTTATTGTTCTCTAACTTGAAGTTTTTCCTGCCATTTGGAGCTTCAAGTTACAGAAATTTTACTGTAAATTATTTCATTAAGTAGACATAAATGAATTTTGTTGGATTTTAAGTATAACACTCCTAAAATCTAATAATATTTATATATTTCATCAGAATGTAAATCATTATTATGTTGTTATTTCTTTAAATATACCTTTAGAATAAACTTAATTTAGAAAACCTTAAACAGGTAGGCCTATGACATATTTCAAGGAGAGTATACAGTATTAGAAACAGTTTTAAATTAAGGATTCACTCAATATTTACTGTGCAGTTCTCTTTAATACACAACTAGGACATTGATCTTTAATAGGATTTGTGTTCATTTATAAATATTAAAATCATGAGACATACCAAAATATGCTGTTTAAAAAAGCTAATAAAGTATATTTTTATGAATTAAAAGGGAATACTTGAATAGTCCTTTGGAAAATCTTAAAAAATTTCATTACTTGAAAAAATAATATCCTTTTATTAAAGATCTTATGATTCACCATCATTTGACTTTATATTCAAAACTGATATTAAATAAAAATTTATTGTCAGGTTAATTCTGGTTATAGTCATGATTATGATTAGTTACAAATACAAATTTTGGTGCAATTTTGGTGATTTGAATTAAAAATTATTCTAAAATATATATTTAATATTAAATTTTTATAAATTCATACTCATTGCTAAGATAATAATTCCAGTAATTCTGCAACAGTATCTTCCAATAATTCTTCAACAACAAAATCTGGACAAGTTATATTTTCTGCAACACCATATTTACTACACATAGTATTTTCTAACCTCTCCTTTTCTTTCTTGCTTACTAAATAGCCATTTAATCTTTTTTAATGTATTTATATTTACATCTATTTCTAATGTATTCAAAATATCTGCCAACCAATTCATTAAAATAGCTATTAAGCAAGCAAGGAATCGTAAGGAGTGTATACAAATATAATGCATGATTTAGCATTAGATTTCATTACCAAGCCATTAACAACTTCATAGATAAAATAATTATCTTTTAAATGATTATTTATAATGTATAAATCATTTCTATCCTTTACAAAAATTTTAAAAAATATATAAAAAATCTATTTGATAGGACAAAAAAATAGAGATAATTCCCCTCCTATTTTTAAAAGAACTTCAACAAACCGCTTAAATCTAAATTAAAGTGAATAATCTCGAGCATTATCACTAATAACTTAATTATAATGAATGATGATGTTAATTTTCTATAATAAATGAGCAAATATTCAAGATTTAGGAGAATAACATTGAAATTATTTACAGAATTGGTGTTAAAATCAAGGCATAAACAGATGTTATTAAAGTCAAAAAAGTAATTATCATATTAAAGAACTTTACCTTCCAGGTACATTTCTTGTATTTTTCTTCCAAAAAGCACCTTTGTTATCATTATGACTGTCATCAATATCTTCCATTGTAATAAAAGTTTACGTTGAACAAAAATCCATTCATAATTAATGTTTATTTAAACGAATATACCATGTACACATCGAAGATTTTAACATACAAACTACCATCTTGACCATACGTCACTTACTCTTTCTCCCTCTTTTCCTGAATGTAACTTCCGTCTTACTTTTTCTTTTTTATTTTTTTTTTTTAATAACATCTACAAATTTCTTTATACTGAACGTATAAATTCTTTATTAAATAAATAATAATATATTATTGTGGCTAATTTTTTAAATTTTTCATTAAATTGAATATTCATTATTATTTTATATCAAAGATCTACCAGTCGAGATATGTGCCGGTGTAATTTTATCGGCGGCGGCTTTGGTGGTGGTGCATGAAAGTTTTGTCAGAGACACGCATTTCTTTCTTCCTTTTTTTCGTGAACAGTGCAAACGAATGCAAGTTGAAAATTGTCGCGGCGTACGCTGGCATGGCACACTATAAGCATCAATCTTTCCCGTTTGAAAAATACTATACTTTTAAAGCGTAAAAGCAATGAGCTAGAAAATACTATATAGAGTAGCTGTGACCTTTGATACAGCGCTCTTGGTGGCAACGACGAGTACTAGCGACAGCCATTTTATTTTAAGTCAAAACGTTGACGACTCTACCATGCACTGGGCAGGATTGTCACTTTAGAATCTATTTTTCTCGTCTAAATCTAAATTGTTTTGTATTCCCAAAAATTTGAGATTTAGGCAGTTAGATGAATGATAATCCAAATTGTTTCATCTCAAATTTAGCTATTTTCTAGATTTTTATTTAATTGTTATAAAGAAGGTAAGTTCAAAGTTTAAAGTAGTAATAATAGTACTTAACCTTCAATATAACAATATTTTTATAATCTAAAGTCGAGCCAGATTTTGAAGGGCTTTATTTTCAGCCACATGATTGTTTATTTGCAGTGTACTCAGTCTGCTCCGTACCATATTCACTCGTTGTTGACTTTTTTCGGACAGCGTTTTTCTTTTGCACAATATAAGTAGTGTTCTCGTGTTTTTATTATAGTTACAGTTTGTGAAAATTTTGGTTTCAACTTGTGAAAATATTTACAATGAAAAAATACATTTTGATCTTTGTCATGTTATGAACCACATTACTGAAGTTAAAATCTTCTTTGAAGCCCTGGACTGCGGGTGAAAAACATTCTTTTAACCATATATCCAGACAAAAACGAATCTTGATCTTTGCGATTAATTAAAATTAAGGTAACTAAATTATGAAGGAAAAGGGAAAAATAAAATTATTTTAATATTAAAATCCATGCGGTAAAGAAGGAGAAAAAATAGTAAATTAAATTTTTTATAAGACAAGATGAACGAAAACGAAAAAGTTAAGGTACAAGGTTCGTTCAACACCGAACGAAACACGGTGTCCAATTGTATTAATAAACAATCGTCTTTCTCGGGAACCGATCTGGTCCAATTTCGTCCGGTAACAGAGAAAGACCAATCGGGGACCGAGAAAGGGGATTAATTAATAACTAATAACGTAACGATTTGAGAGACCACATATTTTTAAGTCCAGGCCACAAGGACACTCGGTTCTTTGCCCGCGTCCCTTGCTGGGGTGTTTCACGCAAGGTTCCATCTTCGTCCTTTTCCGATGTATTCTCCGAAAGTTATAGACATGCATTAAGAGAAACCGGAAATTCCCATCTGCATTTGCCGGATATCGTATCCTGTTCGAGGTCTGGTCTTAGAATGCAACATCCGCTCAGCGATAAGAAACCACTCTCGTCATTTCCTCTTCTTCTTTCAACGACTACGCGCCGAAATCTACAAGGACTTCAACCCTTCGTGACAACAGTACTTTTATTACAGGTTAATTGTCTAATGAACGGATTGTGTTGTTTGTGAACGAGGCATTGATCACAAACCTGACTTAACCGCTCCCACATGTTGACTGTTACCGCTCGGCAGTCCAGACGGCAATAGAGACGATAACGATATATCTCTTATTAAAATCGTTATTTTTTTGAAATTTCTTTCTCTCTCCCCCAGCAGCCTCACACTTCTAAGAGGTAATAAAGAGCTAATAAGTGTGAGAAATGGAAGAAGTGTTGCATTTCCCATCAAAATAGACGAAGAAAATATGCCAGTAAGAGCAAGAGACTGTAGAAACTACATCATTATGATGTGTACAAAATGTGAACTATATCTATCATTCTGGATAATAAAGTATATTAACATGAACTAACGTTTTGTTCATTATATTGTAGACAACAATCTTAGACGCCAGTAGCTGTTACTAAAAATAGCCGCAGCAGCGGCGCGCACTTCTTCGCTTATAATCGTGTTATTATAAAGCGAATAACTTCTAAAGAACTTTGAACAGAAATTTGACCCGGAAATAATTTAATTTTTCCATTGGTATTTTTAATCATAAAGTTTTATAACACCATGTACCATATAATTTTTGTATTTTTTTTTAATTTTATGAATATAAAAATGCAAGGCGATTGTAATATATAAATTAAAGAATTTTCGTTTATTAGATAGGCGAAATAAAGTGAACTGTTTTAATCTTGGTTTTTGTTAATTGCGGATAATTAGAAAGACATGATAAATATCGCTAGTCTCACTACTGGAAGAAGAAACCGTAAGAAACCAAAAAGCGTAATTTTGAGGTTAATGATGAAATTTATAAAAAAAAAAAAAAAAATTGTAAATGTAAATAAAGAATAACATCTTCATTAAGTCCGACCTCTCTCGAGACGACACATGACACCACTCTATCTCCCCCACCCCTGTAACTTTTACCATCAAAATATAATAGCATCAAAGCTCCTTAAACACAAGCTATCACGTGAAATTTCGTTTCTTATTAGCCAACACACACATACACGAAATATTTCTTCCTTTTTTGGATTCAGGTGGTCTCAAAACGTGGAGATTTGCAAAAAAAACTCAAACTTCGAGGGTCAAATTTGACACGATTCCAATGCTTTCTCTGTTTATGTATATGTTACCGCTAAAGCTCGAAATCCGTTAATGTGCATATTACCTAGCTAATCTGCACATTAACTAGGGTGNAAAAGGTGAATTTAGACCAAACTTCTAACTTAAAGGGTCATTTTCGTTATTTTTTTTTTTAAATAAAACATAATACAAAATATTATTGTAAATTTTTATAATAGGATTTTAAAAAGCAAAGATGGTCAATACTCCAATCACTCGATCTGGTTCTTATTTAACTAATGAAAAGTCCTGCTACCAAAAATGCCCTTTCCGATTCAATTGATGTGGGTGGAATCGTGTTTAATGCATTTAAGAGAAGACGGATTTTGTGTGTTTGATCACCCGTAGCCTGAAAATTTCTAGTTCCTTTTCAAGATTGTAGTACTTCTTTTGCTCTCTAGAATTCTTGATTTGTCTACCTTGGCTGCTTTAACAGAAACATCAAGCTTATAGCCCAATAATTTGACAGTTCGTTTGTCTTTAATAATCAGGTTTATGAAGAAAAACTTCATACTTGCAGACTTCGTACTCGTTTGTATCCTTGCCAAATTTTTACAACCTGGCGTTAGGCAGTTATCGAAGCAGAGCCAGCCCTACCATAGGGCGAACGGAGCAGCCGTTCCAGGCGATAAGTCCTAGGGGGGGCGCCTCAGTGGTAAAGAAAATTAAAGTGAAAATTTTTTTTTCACTTTTCGATATTTTAATTGCAAGTGTGTTGCCAGTATGTAAATGACCTTATCTGTTAAAACGCGCGTGGGTCGAGTGCGTGGGCAGAGTTCCACCTCCGGGCGCCATAATAGGATCTCGCTCCATCCTAAAACTTGCCTCGGGCCGGCATTGTATCGAAGCTACTGGGCATGGTTAAAAATTAAGACAGCATAAGCACAATTATTCCAGATATTACAGGTTCTGACAAGTAAAGAATTTTCAGTCCTGCACAAATAAGCTACGTATTGATTATTGACTATTTGTGACATGCCATAACGAGCAAAAATTTAAAAAACTAATAAGTAGGTTTAAAATTAATAAATACAAATTTATTCTGACAGTTTATGAATTAATTATACTTTCTATTTGCAAAATTTTCTCAATCTTAACACAAAATAAGAAAAAAGTGAATTTTTAAGAAATTTGCGGGATTTCCCGGATTAAAAAACAATCGGGATTCCGTTTTAGAAACCCTAACTCATCCGATCAATAATCGCACTTGGATTATTTCATAACTCATGTAAGATTCCAATTTGTAGGATGTGCTCATCTTGAGCAGTAAAGGGCCTAAAACCACAAATAAAAAAAATTTTTATAGGAAAAAGCGAGTCGCAATTTCTTCGTCAGTTGACAAATTGTCATATTCTAAAATCCAGTTTAAATCGAATAGTAAACTGACCAAAAGGAACAATTAAGGCGAAATTTAAAAGAAAAAGAAAAGAAAAGAAAAAATACATTACAGTATCACTTTGAGGTACAGTACATCCTACCAAGAAACGTAATTTACATAATCCCACATGATGTTGAATGACGTAACTATGAGACGCGGTACTAAACAAAGTAGATTGAAAATACCGTATTTACTCGCATATAAGGCCCTGTACACACTAGGCATTTTTCAACGCGCGTTAAACGCTCGTCGAACGCCGAGCTAAAGAACCAAGAGTTCTATGTAGCCGTACACACTCAAACGCCAAGCGCGCGTTAAACGCGCGTTGAAAAACGCCTAGTGTGTACAGGGCCTAAGACGGTTTTTATCCATTTTTTACTGCTTCAAAAATCTAGATCGTCCTATACGCGCGAGTGAAGGATTCTTTTCGTTTTTGTATAAATTGTGTAAACTATGTATTCGCATGTTTTACAGGATCCTCACCTTCTGGTGTTTAAAAACAAAAGTATTTTATATGGATCGTTTGAATTGTTCTTGTGTATTGTCAGGAGTAAAGATAAATAGCAATACAAAAAGCAAAGCTTTTGAATTGAATTTCAAAATTTCACGGGAGCTCGATATAAGTTTTAATTCATTCCCACATGAAAACAGATGATTATTTGGAAATTCGAAGAAACTCATAAGTGTAATCGACAAAGAGTGAATTCGACTGTCAAGAATTGGCAAAAAAGGTTCTCGATTGTCC